AGCTATTAGTTAAGTTCTCCCCAAGCGAGCTCGATGGGCCGAATGGCCTCCTCTCGTTTGTATAGTTCTTATGTTCTTAGTATCTAAGATTCATTTTAAATTAAGGAATGTTCATCTGCTCTTTATATTTTCGGTGAATTCATGCTATGCATGACTGCGTGAGGGAATGACAGACCAGATGCAGAAACCATTGTGTGAGTGTGGAGGCTCCTGGCTCTTATGATGATCCTGAATACCTGCATGTCCTGCCTTTGCAGCTCTGGCTGATCTCCATGGCGACGGGGAGAACAAGGTAGGAGGACCACCGCCATGATGGATTGGATCTTTGCTTGTGGGTGATCCACCCGCATTTAAGATGAACGCCATTGATATCGGGGGGGCATTATCATGCCGACAGCCAGGGGGAGGTTTCGTGTTTATGGGGCCCCCATCAAAAAGTCACTTCGGGGCCCCTTACCCCCACCCAGAGGCCCCCAAACCTCAGGAGCAGTTGGGTGGTGGTAAACTCCACTGCTGCTTACAGCAGTAAGGTACATAGATTATAGACCAGCAATCATATACATTGACAGAGCAGCCTTTGACTCAGAACACACCCACAAAGCTGGATATGAGGTCAGGCCAGCTAGGCTAGCTGTAGCACATGAGGATGAACCTCGTTGTGAGGAAAGCATGTCCACGTCGCAGTTGGTGGTGGGAGACCTGGGCACAGGGGCGTCCAACATGAAGCTGAAGGTGTACAAGGGCACCAGCCTGGTGAGCGAGAACATGCTGCTGGACCTTCCCACGGGACTGGTGTCGTTCCTGATGGACCAGCACGAACCCCGGACACCTGCTATTGCTGTAGCGTCCGGACCTTTCATCTACATCTACAAAAACCTGCGGCCCTATTTCAAGTTCACCTTGCCGTCTCTGGAAGTCAACCCCCTGGAGCAGGAGGTCTGGACCCAAGCAAAGGAGGTAAGAGGGTGTTTGTGTTTGTGACGCTCCGCACTACTGCGCATTTTCATTTCCAAAGTGACATATTTTGAGAAGGCAGAGTCAGACAGTCCCTGGAGCAACTGGGGATTAAGGGCCTTATTCAAGGGCCCAACGGTGACATCACTCTGCCAACCACGGGATTTGAACCAGTGACCTTCTGATCACAGGCAGTGTCCTAACACGCTGATCCACACACTGCCTACTTTCATTAATTGACAGACATCACTGTCTTATTGCTGTTATAGTGCTGCACAGTGCT